CCCTACACCAAATGTTTAACTTTTTCTATCTAAAAGTGCTTTTGGGGTATTTTTGGAAAGTAATGCAGGCAAGTTCACTAAACTGCCTTTGATCCATCGCTTTCAAATTTTATACTGCTTCATGATGATGGTTACAATTTTCTCATACTTTTCAAATTTATTTCTGTGAAATCACAATGACAAAGTCAACAGAAAAAAAAACTTTTTTAAAGCACATCATACTGTCTCCTTTACAGGTAGAGGGAGAAAAAAAAATGAAACAAATGGTTGTCTCATGCATGCTCTAGTGACAAGGCACACCACAAGGACAGAAGCTATTAAACATTTCCCTTGACTTAATGAAAAAAGTCAGAATTACACTACATTTAAACTGACCAAATTATGAGTATAGTTAATTTGTGTTCCTTTCTCTCAGTAACTAATTATGTCCTTATCTGCCTATGTTTTCAGTACGTTATTTCTGGCTATTAATTACAGCACAGATAAAAAGGGTTTTACTCTACAATATGCCACTTATAGGAATACGTAGAGGAATAATAGCAACAGCAGTTTCAAAAAGTTCCAAAACGGTGCAAGTCTTCATAGCCGAGAAAAAAATTTTATTATTATTCACATTGTACATAGGTTTTTAAGAATGCCTTTTTTCTTTATTTAGAAGCATGTTAATTAGAGACAATTTGCATCAAATATTCAGAAAGTTAATGAAATGCAGCACTGGCAAGTTCAAGCAGGGGATGGATGTAATCTTGATTTTATTATCAAACATAAAGTAAAGCAAAAAAAAAAAAAAAGGTCTGCTACTAAACCTAGTAGAAAAGTAACCACATAAAAAGACAGCTATTTGGTTTGTAAATGTTAGAATGTAAATATCAAAAGAGGGCCAGTAGCTCCTACTAACTTTCATGTTCTGAAAAAAATCAATCTCTGAGTGATCTCATGTCATGAAGATCCATTAGATACAGAAAACCTTGTGGTAACATACAGTTAAGCGATTTAGCATAAATTTTTGGATTGGGGAAGGTAAGCCTAAAGAAAAGGGAAAATGCAAATAAGACAGACTGAATATTTTCCCCTCATTAGAGTCTACTGTACTTACATGTTGTTTAGACAGCCTGGCAATCCATAACCTCTACATGAAAAAATAACCTAAAATCTGGACACGCAAGGCATATCCAGTATGAAACATCACTTCTACTCTGAGTGCAGGATATTCTTCCACTTAAAAACAAATTTTAAAGCCACATCTTTAATTTCATGGTAGTATTGTTTCAAAAGCTATGTTACTGTAAAATAACACAAAGTTCACGCAGTCAGAACGTTTTTGTAATGGAGATATGAAAACACAGCCACTTAAGGAACTCCTCCTCTTACCATGTCAGAGCAGGTATGGTGCAAGAAGGATTTAAATCAGATTTTCAATCTTTTCCAGCTATTCAGAGTTCATCAAGGGAAGGTAGCTTCTGTATGTTGTTTATGTTGCCACTTACCTTTTCATCCCTCATGATACAATTTAGAATTATCCTACGGGGAACAAACACTTAATGGTGCCCAGAGCTTAGTACAACGGCCGTTTGTTCCCTTTCCAGGAAGCCTATCAAAGAGTATGGTTGAGAACAAATTATGTGGTCTTTGCAAAATGGTAGAATATCACACACAAAAAAAGGGCATTATGTAAATACTGTAGCTGTGCCAGGGCCTCTCTCCAAATTCATTCCCAATTGACTAGGAAATAGAGTGCATCACGCCAAACCAGTGTTAACAGAAATCACAATTTAACAATTGGAAGAGATCAAACAACGTTTCTGCATCTGTTTGAATACATTCCATCAAGGACTACCTACAATTACAATAAATACTCACAACTGACTCACCCGCTGAAATTCTGCTAGGTTCTGCAATTTTTTTTTTTTGGCTAAATAAATACTGGAAAATGTCACTAGAACACCTGGCCTGTTGGAGTTCCGATTTCAAAAGACAAAAAGTGTTTCCATTTGTAATCATCTTGGGCAGAGTGCCTGCATGAACGCGCCACAGAGAAGAAAAGGATTTCTTTTTCCCATGGGACACAAAAGGAAGTTATTGATATTATGCAAAATGTACTACCAGTTTGCAAATGCCAGGCTTGTTAAGTGTTGTTAAAGTCTTGGAGTATTAACATATACTTAAAAGTCCCACTTTTTTCTTAATCAACAAGAAGAAATTACTTTCAAACAAGAGATGACTGAACGTACAACGAGGCTGGTTTTCAGCCTCGTGCCACGCGCTGCTGCATGTTCAAGGAATAAAACTCAGCTTGACTCAGCTTTGACTTTCCAAGTCAAAGTCATTTTCTGAAAGATTTTATCTCCATGCAGATAAGCTAGACCTTGTGATTAGTTTGGGGTTTTTTTAATCTTCCTTTTTAATTCCTATGGATGTGAACTTCAAGGAACCATCTGCCTGCCCAGCAAAAGCAAACAATCTCACCGAGACGATACTAGGGTATCTGTAAAGTTCAGCCTAGCCTTTTGTTTAGCTTAGCCTTCATTATCCAGAATATGGTCACACTAAACTTA